AGACGAAACTTTAGAATTTTGCTTGTTCTTTTCTCAATTTTGAATAATCCAACTTCTCCAACATATCTGAAGGACAAATTCCAATATCTCTTTTCAACTCATGATAAGGTTCTTCGCTCCTCATCTAATCATAAGATCAGTATTCCATCTCATTTCACTGGATTCACCAACAATTCTTTTACTATTCAGGCAACACTACTCTGGAACTCCTTGCCCGATAACATAAGAAGAGCGCCAAGTAAGGATTGTTTTAAAAAGTTGGTACGCGACTTTTTTTTGAGTCGAAGTGATGTTCAATGTTAAGAATGGTGATGATAATTTTGACACATTTAGATGTTTTATTATTTGTAATTTCAATATATGTATTTTATTATTATATGTAACGTATATATTATATCTATGTATGATACATATTTTGTTCATATTATCATATTACATATGTAAAGTTTTTGTATATTATACGCATATCTTAGTATGTATGTATGTATATGTGTATGTATGAGTATATGTATGTATGTATGTATGTATGTATGTGTATGTGTATGTGTGTATGTATGTATATATATATATATGAATGTGTATGTTATATATGTATATATATGTATGTGTGTGTGTATGTATGTATATATGTATATATGTGTGTATTTGCACCTGCCACAAAATCTCATCACTCCACGGGTTGACTGGCAGAGAATGCCGCTAGGCATTAAGTCCGCCCTTTGTTACCCTTGTTATTAAGGTGTCAACAAAAAAGATTAAATAAAAAAAAATAAAAAAATCATGAATTAATAAAATAATGTAATTTATTTACATCAATATACATTACTTTATAATAAAAAAGCAAAAAAACCACACATTCACATACATACATACATACATATCGGTCCCAAAATTTCTAGAAGGATCTTGACTCTTCTAGTTCTGCTACTCGATGCTAGAGGGCGCTAGTGGTAACTAGTGTTGCCATGAACAAGACATTAATAGTGGCGCGCAACAATGTAGTTATAGACATCTCTGATTATATTCTGGTTCTCTTGGTAATTTCAAGCAATAATTGGAGACACACAGATGAAATGAGTGACAGATGCATTTGGCTACATAAAATGCGGAATATCTCCTTGAAACCTTGTTGATAAAGAGTTGAGATGACCCATCATGACGTTTGCACCATATGCCGGAAACCCAATCATGTTTTCTTTGTAAGAAATATCATTCTCGATAATGAAACGAAATGTAACTATTGTTGCAGGGAGAGGGAGAGTACTTTTGATTAACTTTATAATGTCTGGTCTTCTAGTTTCAATTACTTTAAGGTTGCTAGAGGTGTTCTGTCATTCTGCTTTCAGATTTGCCCACCCGATTTGAAACAGCTCTACAGGGTTCTCTTCAGGATCTGATGGTCGGGATGAGGTCTTATTGGGGTTCTGTTGTGATGGAGCTGAGTTAATCTTCTTGGCCTTTTTTGATTCAGCTGCAGTAGAGGGGGGAAGTTTTTGGGTTGTCTAACTGCTTCTTTTGTAAGGAAGAGGTGGAGGGAGTGTTGATGTCTGGGATGTTCATGCCGTCCACTAGAGTTTTGTCATATCCAATTTCATCAGAAAGATTCTTTTCAAAATTTGGAGGAATCTCCAATGGCTTATGGGAGGTTTTATTCCCCCATTGCTGTTTACCCTTTTTAGAGGACATGTTAGACTTGTAAGTAAGGTCAAGACTCTTTTGAAGAAAATATAAAATGTTAGTCAATTAATGACTGAGTTATGGAACAAATATTTTCAGTCTTGAATTTTCGCAGCTGATAGTTCACGCCCATTTGGGGATAAGATAGGAAGATCAAGTGCAAAATTCGGTTTTTGTTTCCGACTCTTTCCACTTTTTGAAATGACAATCACCTGAGGTTGCTCCTCGAGATTTTTGATTTTTGAGATCTTTAGAAACATTTTTAAGTATTCATATAAAATTAAAATGTAAATTACAATAACAATTTATATTGTAACTAATAATAACAAAAATAACGTTCTTTCTTTTACAAAACTTAGTCATTCTTCCTTACTAGCTCAATAATTTTAAACTAAGCATGTGTTTATGTATCCAGAACTTTAATCAGTCTCATTGTAGAATCACTTTGACTTAATATTATCTAAAACTAATCTGATCTTCACTTTAACTAATATAGCCAAAAAATCACAACAACTAACGTGTAAGTTAACAAGAAAGTGCTTAATCTTCAATCAAATTTTCTTCTATACCGTAATCAATAGAATTACCCAAACCATCAGCATCATCAATAAAATCACACGACGTTCCTCAAGAAATTATAACATCCTTTTGCATCTGTTGGAATGATTACAAATTTTATAGTTGATTGTTTCTGATACTTAATGAAATGGGTTAATATGCATGGTCAGCAATGCCGTGGGATATCTGAGACATTGCCTTGGTTAGGGAGGACATAGGGCTTTCTTTAGGGTTTGCTTTTGCAACACTCCAAAAAGTTTTGACCAAAAGGGTTGGGTCGTAGTGTAGCAGTTCTTGTGTGTCAGGGTAATGAGAGAGAAGCTCCTTAAGTTGGGATTCTATAGAACTGATTATCTTTGTTATAGGTACATGAGGTTTTACAGATATCTGACCTTCTTCAAGCTCATAGGTAAATTGAGCATATTTGATAACCTTCTTTGTAATCTTGGGTGGTGGCACATATTTGGGGGCGGTTGTTGGATTGGTGAACTTCTCTAACCAAGTCTTCACATGTTCCTCCAATTTAGAGTAGTATGTAGTCGATATAATTGAGGACTGATCTCTCCAACTTTTCTCCGCAGATGTAACTGACTTTTTGAACTCATGAACAGAATGGGCTGCAAGTTTCTGATCTGCAGCTAGATTAGCCATATTTTCCATCACATCTTTTAGCGTGAGTCTCTCCCCCTCAATCATAGAGGCTATCATGCCTCTTAGAAAAGAACCAGGATCCGGGGCATCATTCGGGGTCCCGTGAGCGGGAGGTGAAGTAAGTTGTCAGTAATATGTTAATACGATCCTTCCCTAAGCTTTCCCATTGGTCGTCCAGTAATGTAACTATTGTTGCAGGGAGGGAGAGAGTACTTTTGATTAACTTTATAATGTCTGGTCTTCTAGTTTCAATTACAAAGACCTGAATGTAACTGACGAAATATTTTTAATTTAAAGTGAATGTTTTTAGCTATATTTTAGTCTCTAAAAACGAATATGCTACCAAAAAAAAAAAAAATGTATGAACACTGAAAAATGGTTTTTCAGGATACTCACGATTGTGATAGTTCGGGCCAAAGCTTGGTACACTCACGATCGTGAGTGTTTAAAATAAGGCATAAATAACACCATTTATTAGTAGAAATTAAACTTTAATTATTATGAACAGTCTTAATTAGTCTTAATCAAATACAGTATTTACTATTTAACGTAACAAATCAGTCTTTTTCATTATAATTAATAAACAAAACGAATAACTATAACTTTTTAGAAACTTAGCTTTCTCAGGAACAATTATATCATATTAGAAGCGTTTTACCTGAAATAAAACGCATATTAAAATACTTACCTCACTGGAAGCTTTACATTGAGATAGCATTTCCGGTTCCGTCGTTTTTTATCAGTTTTCTTACTTTTATCGATGTGATATCCGGTCCAGTGGCGTCACCTGGTGATCGGGGTCGACATTTTTAGTTCATAAAATGTGTAGCACCGATTTTTACTCATTGGCTCAATTTTCACCAGGCAGAAATCAAATTAAAGCTTCCAGTGAGGTAAGTATTTTAATATGCGTTTTATTTCAGGTAAAACGCTTCTATTAAATCATTTGACCGTCACTGGAAGCTTTACATTGAGACTTGTTTGTTGTCGCCTGGTGACGCCATTTGTTTAAAAAACGCCAATGTGATAATAGTACATATTAATAATTACACAATGTATAATTATTCACAATAATTTATTAGATTTAAGATATTTGAATTAACTTTAACATACCGTACTAATAATATTAATTGTACAAGATTAATATAATTATATTATAATCAATTTAAGGGAATGAAACAATTTGAAACATTTGTCGGATCACTACAGTTAATCACTTCTCTTCTGTAATATTTTTTAAAAGTATTAGCTGATTGCCAATTACCGCGGGCCAAAATTTCGTCCAGTGGATGATTGTCGTACCAACTCTTTGAAGCTACTGCAGATCGGATGCTTCCTGGTGTTGCAGAAATGCCAGCTTCCTTGAAAATAGGTTTTTACCCAGCCCGCAATGACTGTACGTGAAGCGGGCTTAGCTGCACCTCTAAGTGTAATAAATAGGTTAGAAGATCGTGCAGAACTGCGTCTTTCATTTAATAATGTTATAGTTTGTTCTATCCAGAACAGAGGATTTAGGTTGCAATGAGTATTATTTGCAACAAATTTCCACCCAGATTGTCTATAATCACTTCGATCAGTTTTTGAGCCAAATTCAGGCCAAAATATTATACTATCTTCAGACTTTATGCAGTGATTAGGATCTACTCTTAGTAATGTTAAATCATGTAAACGTCTACCCGAGTATATAAGTAATAAACTTGCGGTATGTCTAGATGTTTGAAAAATATTCTTGGAATCTACTTTGTAGGCGGTCAAAAATGAAATTAATTCACTAACATTCCAAATAGGTGGTTTAGACTGTTTCGGATTTTTCAGAGAAATTGATTTAAGTACATGCTTAACGAGAACATGTGAGCTTAGATGTGTTGAATTTTCAATGTTACACAGAGTAGCAACTACAGACTTATGTAAAAGTATTGTATTGTATGTCAAGCCATGGATTAAATACAAATCTGATAAAAATTGCGCTAGTTGTGAACCCGTGGGATTTTTAGGGTCAACCTTTTTGTTACAAGACCACGAAACCCAGCGTTTCCAAGCGGCCTCATAAATTCTCAAAGTAGACTTTCGCCATGAATTTTTAAGTAACTTGAGTTGTTCAGTATTCCATGTTTCTACCTCCTTGGACCACCCCCACATTTCCATACCTCGAGTATGATGTTCTCCACATTCGGTGGTGGGTGTCCCGTTGATGTGTCGACTAGGTGATTCTGAAGGTTTTTCAATGACATCGGTGCTGCGAGTGCCCGAACTTTGAGGTCCGCGCGCCAGAATACCTTTTCCCATCTGGGAACGACTAACAGAAATATTCCTGTCGATTGATTCAGGTGGGCTAAGACTTTGGGAACTAGAAAGGGTGGTGGGAATACCCACGCAAGCGGGTAGTTCCATGGAGTACTGAACGCGTCGTGAAATAGGGCTTGAGTATCTTTCACATCTCGTGATACATAGTTGTACACTACATGAGCCATCTTCGATGCAAACAGATCTATCACCGGGGTTCCCCATTTTGCGAACACCGTCTCCACACAAGATGGTAGTAGGTGCCATTCTGGAGGATGGCGATGACACGATAAGTGATCGGCATGGTTGTTGTGTTTGCCGGGGATATAGTGTATGCTGAAATGTATTTGATGTCGATCCAGCAAATTCAAAATCTTGTAGGTTATTTCCATTAACGGTTTTGATTTCGTACCTCCTTCTTTTCGAAGATGAGCGACTGCAGTCTTGTTGTCGCTCTGTATAAGGATTGAGCTGTGACGCAATAGTTGGACTTGACTTTGAAGAGCATAAAGTATGGCCAACATTTCTTTTTGATTGCAATGAATACCTTGCTCTTCCTCTCTCCAAGTGCCCGAGAGAGCCATATTGTTCAATTGTGCTCTCCACGCTTGGTCCGATGCATCTGTAGCTAAAAAGTTTTTTGGTGGCGGGTAATGTAGGAGCGTCGACGACTGGCAATTGTGAATCCACCACTTCAACTCTTGCCGGGCTTCTTCTGGTAAGGTGTGCATCTTCTGTGGGTGCTTTAATACAGTGTTCATAAACATTAATAAGCTTCGATGATGGAGCCGGCCTCTTGGAACAACAAAACTGGCAAAATTCAAGACACCTACTACGCTCTGCAATTCCTTTAAGCTTAGCTTTTTTCTTTCTAAGGCACGACTTAATTTTTTGATTAACGTGACAGTTTTTTCTCTCGGAAGAGATTTTTGATTTTTTCCAAGGATCCCAAAGTACTCCTAAATAGGTTATAGACTTTTGTGGACAAATAATCGATTTCTCGAAGTTTATTCGCCATCCCAGTTTTTGCAAGGTTTTTACTGCAAGTTCTACATGTTCCTGTAGCGTGCAAACATTTTGATGTGCTATTAAGAAATCGTCCAGATAAACTAGGATTCTTATATTGTACTTTTCCCTTAGCGATTGCGCTAACCAATTTGTGAGTATAGAAAAGGTTCTCGGAGCCGAACTTAGGCCGAACGGAAGGCAAGTCATTTCTAGTAATTCTTGGTTGTATATAATGCGAAGGAATCGTCTTTGTGACTCTTTTATTTGTAAATGAAAGTAGGCCTGAGACAAGTCTACTTTGCACATCCAGTCCTGGTGTTGAAGAAAATCTGGAATTCGATTTATGTTTATTAGGTGAAAAGGTTTTGCTATCACATACTCGTTGAGCGCCCTGAGGTTGAATATCGGCCGAAGTGAGCCGTCGGATTTTGGCACCAGAAATAGAGGAGAGATGAAGCTTGGTGCATTTGGAGCAACTTTTAAAATGCCCTGTTTCTTCATATCTTGTACAATTCCCGACATAACCTCTGAGACAGGAGTTTGAAAAGGGTTTTTTATAACATTTGGGTAAACAAGCGGAGGCTTTTGAAAGAAAGGTATGCGATACCCTTGAATCAATTTTATTATAATTTCTGGTGCTCTCATCTCCTTCCACTGCGTCAGATAGAGAACTAGCTGACCTGCTCGAAAGGGTGTCGAGTCATTGCTTAAACCTTTTTCCTTTGGATACTCTCGGAGCATTTGAGGGTCTTGAAACATCGGGTTGCAAGCGTCGGTTGTGAAATGAACCCCTTCCATTATTATTGTGGTTATCGTACTGATACCTTGAGTACTGCCCTCTGGATTGATGTTTGAATTTATGGTGCCCACCTCGCGAAGGTTGGTTGTTGTCCGTATGCACGCGCATTGGCATATCCACTTCATTAAAAGTATATAGAGTTCCACGCGATGGAGCTGATGGTTTTCGTGTGCCTCGTCCCCGCGAGGGACGGTGGTTATATTGATTTGAGTTGAGAAAAAGCATCAGTTTTTGGTGGCCAAAATGCTTTGCGCACCCCGCCAGATTTTTCCAACATAGATGTGAAACGTTCAGGTTCAAATAAATAACAAGGTGTAGGAGGTATTCTGTTTAACGACGTTTTCAACAAGGGATCTCGAGCTTGGCTGGTTATCGTTTCACGGCGCATTTCAATAACTTCGGCACGATGGCCGCAAACTAACTGTAATAAGTCTGAAGAGATTTTATGAAACTCCCCTTTTTGAAATATCTCTTCCACCTTAAGACTTAAGTTATCGTTTGTAATTTCAGTGTTTTTAGCCCATGAAAGAAGATTACGGAAACCATCTTGTAATGCTTCTTTTTGCTTTAATATGCCGTAAGTTATAGCTGCATATGCTTTATCGGCATAAGACAAATAACTATACAAGTTATTAGATGTGATGACATGTTTCCGAAGTTCGCCAATTTCTTTCAATAGTTTATCTATCGTATGACTAGAGTGTCGAACACGTTTATTTTTCTTACGCCGCCGATGACATTGAGATCGCTTACCTCGTTTATTATTTGAAGAGGGTGAACTAGAGGAACTGCTACTAGGCGAACTACTGCTGCTGCTTCGATACCTTTTACGAGCCTCTCCACTTGGACCAGCCACAGGCTCGGTAGCGATGGGAACCGAAGTATCAAAATTATCCATTACTGTAATGAAGTTACGTACTATAAATTCATAAAGTCAACTATTTTCATATTAAAATATTTCATCAATTTGTTCAAACCAACAATAATTAATTGTAGGTAGTTTAACTTTTTATACTAGAATTATTAAACAGTGTACAAATTCAAATATTTACATTAAAATATTTCATCAATTATACAAACCAACAATAATTAGGTAAATGGAGGTACTTTAACTTTTTATACTAGAATTTTTATAATGTACAAATATAACTCGTACTTAAGGTAAATATAGCTAATGATTCGAACGGAAAATTCCGTTTAAAAATAAAGTTAACCTTTAAGTACCTTACCGGTGGTTAAGTCGTATCCACAATTTCTCGGGATTCAACACTTTTAACTATTAACACTAATCAATTTAAATATATTTTACTTTGTGAACGTTGATTGTCGCAAGGACAGAGCCGCTTGCTCACAAGTTACTTCGACGGATAACGAAACGCCAATGAGTAAAAATCGGTGCTACACATTTTATGAACTAAAAATGTCGACCCCGATCACCAGGTGACGCCACTGGACCGGATATCACATCGATAAAAGTAAGAAAACTGATAAAAAACGAGAGAACCGGAAATGCTATCTCAATGTAAAGCTTCCAGTGACGGTCAAGTGATTTAATAGGGTCGTTAAAAATAAAAAAAATAAAAAAACTTGTAAACAAAGTTTCACTATTTTTATGTATTTCACAATAATTACTTATCTTTCATTGTGAAATGCATAAAAACAGTGGTTATCTTTGGTATTACAAAGATATACGTTGCACTTTGTGCATCTCACTTTGGATCGACTGTTGCAGCCTTTTAAACTACAACATCTAGGAGCCAGTGATTGTATCCATCGAGCCTTTTGTCAATCGTTGGTCTCGTAGCTGGTTTGTAATGAGATGTTTCAGTCATTTCGGCTAAATCGTCTATAGGATCACGGTGCCTCTTTCTAGTAGGGCCACCAAGCAAAAAATCAAACATAACTCAGCTTAAAATCAAGATAATCCATAGGTTTCTGTTTATTCAACAAAGATGCTTCGCGATATTCATACCAAGCGTTAACGAGCGCCATATCAAAGATGCATAAATACTTTCAGAGGCCATTTTCGCGTTTTATGCCAAGACCTATATGCTTCTAACATCTGATCGCTAACATCCACTCCACCCATATATTCATTGTTCTTTTTTTATATATTAGGGCATGGGACCTCAGTATATCTCTTAGTTGTTTTGTCCCATCGCTGTACATTCTCCAAAAGTTGAGCACCAACACATGTCGACACTATCAATACGCATTCTCCTGGTGCTAACCAATTTTCATCTTCATCGGCGTCCTCCCCAAAATCACAATCATTAATAGCATCCAAACTATCATCATCGTTGCAGATTAAATTTCTTCTACGCATCCTGATAGTTTTACATAGAAACAAAACCTAAAACAAGGCAAAAATAGATATTTTATTTCTATGAAAATGTTTGCACATTTTACAATACAAACCGAACAGTCACTATCGTGAGGGTGAATTTAACGATAGTATAACTCACAGATCGTAGTGAATTAATCCTTAATTTTAAGTAACATGGCCTTTTTATATCAATCTAATTACAATAAAATAAAAACAAACACAAATTAGCTTACCGATTAGTTTAAATTTAGCCACACAAAATCGAACTGTAACTCACACACCATGCACGGCCACGCAAGCAAACTGACGCTCAGCGGCGCGAGTTGTTGGCACAAATATTTAAATAGGTTTAAACGACTACACTCACTATCGTGCGAGCTCATCCCCGCTGTATTACAGTTGTCGAATAAAGATATAAAAATTTGTAAAGTGACACTCGCAAAAGTTAGGGTCTGGCCTGTGAGGGGTATCTTTATAATGTCTGGTCTTCTAGTTTCAATTAGTTTAAGGTTGCTAGACGTGTCCTGACATTCTGCTTTCAGATTTGCCCACCCGATTTGAATCAGCTCTACAGGGTTCTCTTCAGGATCTGATGGTCGGAATGAGGTCTTATTGGGGTCCTGTTGTGATGGAGCCGAGTTAATCTTCTTGGCCTTTTTTGATTCAGCTGCAGTGGAGGGGGGAACAGTTTTTGGGTTGTCTAACTGCTTCTTTTGTAAGGAAGAGGTGGAGGGAGTGTTGATGTCTGGGATGTTCATGCTGTCCACTAGAGTTTTGTCATATCCAAGTTCATCAGAAAGATTCTTTTCAAAATTTGGAGGAATCTCCAATGGCTTATGGGAGGTTTTATTCCCCCATTGCTGTTTACCCTTTTTAGAGGACATGTTAAACTTGTAAGTAAGGTCAAGACCCTTTTGAAGAAAATATAAAATGTTAGTCAATTAATGACTGAGTTATGGAACAAATCTTTTAAGTCTTGAATTTTCGCAGCTGATAGTTCACGCCCATTTGGGGATAAGATAGGAAGATCAAGTGCAAAATTCGGTTTTTGTTTCCGACTCTTTCCACTTTTTGAAATGGCAATCACCTGAGGTTGCTCCTCCAGATTTTTGATTTTTGAGATATTTACAAACATTTTTAAGTATTCATATAAACTTAAAATGTAAATTACAATAACAATTTATATTGTAACTAATAATAACAAAAATAACGTTCTTTCTTTTACAAAACTTAGAAATTCTTCCTTACTAGCTCAATAATTTTAAACTAAGCATGTGTTTATGTATCCAGAACTTTAATCAGTCTCATTGTAGAATCACTTTTACTTAATATTATCTAAAACTAATCTGATCGTCACTTTAACTAATATAGCCAAAATATCACAACAACTAACGTGTAAGTTAACAAGAAAGTGCTTAATCTTCAATCAAATTTTCTTCTATACCGAAATCAATAGAATTACCCAAGCCATCAGCATCATCAATAAAATCACCCGACTTAACGTTCCTCAAGAAATTATAACATCCTTTTGCATCTGTTGGAATGATTACAAATTTTATAGTTGATTGTTTCTGATACTTAATGAAATGGGTTAATATGCATGGTCAGCAATGCCGTGGGATCTGAGACATTGCCTTGGTTAGGGAGGACATAGGGCTTTCTTAAGGGTTTACTTTTGCAACACTCCAAAAATTTTGACCAAAAGGGTTGGGTCGTAGTGTAGCAGTTCTTGTGTGTCAGGGTAACGAGAGAGAAGCTCCTTAAGTTGGGATTCTATAGAACTGATCATCTTCGTTATAGGTACATGAGGTTTTACAGATATCTGACCTTCTTCAAGCTCATAGGTAAATTGAGCATATTTGATAACCTTCTTTGTAATCTTGGGTGGTGGCACATCTTTGGGGGCGGTTGTTGGATTGGTGAACTTCTCTAACCAAGTCTTCACATGTTCCTCCAATTTAGAGTAGTATGTAGTCGATATAATTGAGGACTGATCTCTCCAACTTTTCTCCGCAGATGTAACTGACTTTTTGAACTCATGAACAGAATGGGCTGCAAGTTTCTGATCTGCAGCTAGATTAGCCATATTTTCCATCACATCTTTTAGTGTGAGTATCTCCCCCTCAATCATAGAGGCTATCGTGCCTCTTAGAAAAGAACCAGGATCCGGGGCATCATTCGGGGCCCGTGAGGGGGAGGTGAAATGAAGTAAGTTGTGAGGAATATGTTGATACGATCCTTCCCTAAGCTTTCCCATTGGTCGTCCAGTAATGTAACTATTGTTGCAGGGAGGGGGAGAGTACTTTTGATTAACTTTATAATGTCTGGTCTTCTAGTTTCAATTACTTTAAGGTTGCTAGAGGTGTCCTGACATTCTGCTTTCAGATTTGCCCACCCGATTTGAATCAGCTCTACAGGGTTCTCTTAAGGATCTGATGGTCGGGATGAGGTCTTATTGGGGTCCTGTTGTGATGGAGCCGAGTTAATCTTCTTGGCCTTTTTTGATTCAGCTGCAGTGGA